GTACACAGCGTATGGACAGCTCTCAGAGTGCGATTGATCCGATTGTAATCTCTTCGCCAAATGGCCTCCAGGTATAGATTTATACGCGGGCGGTTCGTTAGCAGTCGAGAGGATTATGTCGTTGCATTTGAGGCCTGAACTGTCTAAACCTGGTATTATTAGAGATGATACTTCTTGTTGCATGGAACGCATACTCACATTTTACTAGGACTGACTTAAGCTCGCCTTGGCAGTCATTGGACAGTAAGGATGAGTGCACTTTATTGTCCTGGGTGTATTGGACTGAGCTGCTGGTGTTGGCGTTCCGATTCCAGATATCGAGCAGATCGCAAGTTTTTTCAGCGAACTCATTGATGTGGAATTTCGCACTTGCTATACTAGCGCATGCCATAAGTAAAAGGCGACCATACATGTCCAAAGTGTTATTGTTGAATATTGGAATGGTATTGGGTCTTCCCTTTCAACGTCAAACGTCAAATGCTGGAGGTATTCAAGTCTTCTTATAAGTTAACCTAATTGCCACTATTTCTCTTACGGCCTAGCTACCATCAGAAGTCCCGGTGTTTGCACACAAGACCCCAAAATCCGCTAATCCGGTCAAGACCAAAAAATGAATAAGAGAGATGCGGAGACTGTGGCCCTCGTGTTACAAGGCTATTTTGTTGAGTGCTGGGCTGTTGTTTCTCTTTATCTTCCTTTGTAGATGGTGCTGCCTTTTATGAGGTGACCACCGCGACGACTCTAGACCATCATAATAAGCCCTAGAATGTAACCTGGATACCCTCAGAAACATACCATGGAAATTTAGGTCGACCAACCTCCGTTTCTTTGCACCTCTGCTATCAGATTTCAATCTAGGAGACCTTATCCTAGCATAGTACTAGAAATAACCTTACAGACACCAAAGTCTTATAAAATCTACCAGAGATCCCCGTGTAAGCGTGTTCGCAAGCTTCTCCGTCATTATGAACCTTTCACATAACCTTCTCATATTCTGCGTGATTCTATTGAAAGCTGTTAGTGACACTTTAATGGAGACGAATGTATTTATTAAATGATTTGCCATAGGTCGGGAGTCCAACACTTCAGCCGAACAGCACCCAAAACGGCGTGCTTGCAAGAGAGGTATCAGTGTAGAACATTAGGCTATGATTGTGACACTAAAAGGAAAGAACAGATTTTAGAATCCCCAAGCTTCCCGGCACCGGCCCTTCCAAAAGGGTTTGCCTCCAAAAAACGAGACGTATCTTATTCAGTCAACTCCCCCTTATGGATGATTTGCTTACTCCGTTCAGTCTCTACTAGAATGTGACTTTACGCATGGAATCGCATACGTAGGTCCCACTGCAGAAAACATTCAGCATCTTCGAGATGAAGGGGAAAAAATGTGTGTTGCAGATTCAAACAGTTGCTCTCGGGTTTCTTACCTGAATCAGTCTGGTCTATTCTTTTGCAATTACGTACGATAACCAATATTCCTTTTTACGCATATTAGCTGATGTCAGCCTTCAGAACACCGAACAAGTTGTCGTTAAGTGCGACGACCTTGTTCCGACGGCGAAAAATTTGTTCGAATCCTGCCAGATCGCGAATTATTACACCTTTGGTATTGTAAACAATGCAACAAAGGATACCAATTACTACATCAGACTTGGTGGGCAGACGATCTAGAAGGAATTGATATCTGTACGACTTAGAAGGAACAAACGAATGTTCAGGTGGATCTAGACTAAGACTAGTTGGTTCTCTTCGAGAAGATACAAACAATGAAAACAGTGCAAGTAAAGTGAGGACACGCAACCATATGCTTGGCACTGGTTTTCATCTAACTGAAAGGATCATCACATAAGAAGGATAAAGTATGTCGACTTTGCTTGACGGCATTCATATTTATAGCTAGACATCGTAAAAATCTGAAGCTCTAACCTGTAAGAACGAATCCCCAATTCTGCTCTCTTTTAGCGAATCACCGGATTTATTATGATGATGATGATGATGTACTCATTTGCCCGATGTAGCTCGCTCTATATATATGCTGTTATGCGGGGGTGCTGTCAGGCCTGCCGACAGCTGGAAAAAGTGGTCGCCAGCCCACTGGGCGACCGTTGGAAACTCGTACGAATTTCTGGTCAATCGCCCTCGAATGGAAAGATGTAAATTGAACAAAGAAATGCACGGATGCAAACATGATAAACAAAAAGCCAAAATGAACGTCATTTACCCCTGATCGCGGGTGGGAGGCCCTGCCCACTTCACCACACCATTCCGACGTCCACTTCTCCCCAACCGTCGAGTCTTGTCGGTTGCCGCTTGCGCGCTCGCTTAGATCAAGGGAATGCAGAGGACCTGGTACTGCACTCCTCACGGGCGCCATCCTTCTTCTTCCGTCACACTGTCAAAGGAGTCATTATCTCCGCTCCTATGGCATCCCCCTGCTCCTCGCCTAGAGCCGTGGGATCGACTGTCTGAAATTGGCCTAGAAGGCCGGTCTTGACCATGAATTCGGCCACAACTGTGCGGGCCTCCGGGCGTGTAAGAAGTTCGTCCCGGTGGAGAGCGACTCCCTGGTATGAGAGAGCGCTTCTCATCCAGTCTCGCTCGTCCTGGTGCAAGGGGCATTCCAGCAGGACGTGTGTCACTGTTTGGCTAACAAGATCGCAATCACACCGCGCTGTTTCGCGTCGGTTGATACGATTCAGGTAAGCCCCTAGGCCTATTCGCCCAGTTCTAAGCTGCATCAGAATCGATGTCGTCGCTTTGCTCAAGCCCATCCAGTATTCTAGCGTCTTTGTTGGTGCTTCAATCAAGCGTTTCGTCTGATGACTGGTCGTTTCCTTGGCCCACGTTCTGTCCCACTCCAGCTTCGCTTCATCTGCGAATTCGTCGTCCCGCTGCGGCTGCGAGACGTATGTCTCGGTTGAGAGGATTATGCAGCCGGTCCGGTTCCTGCGCCGCTTCTTTTGCGTGTTGGTCCACGACCTCGTTGCCAATGACTCCTTGGTGCGCAGGAATCCATCTGAGTTCTGTCCGAATACTTCTAACCGCAAGTTGTAGGATCAGGTTGAGGCATCCTGCTAGATAGACCTGTCCTGACGGCATCCGCGGTCGCCTCAGCGCCTTCAGCGCTGCTTGGCTGTCTACAAAGATGACTACCCCGTTCTTCGCCTGCTTAGCCCATGGCTCTGTGCTTTCCAGAACCATTTCAAGTGCCATCTCAATGGCTCGAAGCTCTGCCGCATATACGGTGGACGTATTATCATCTCCCATCTGGCTATGAGCATGTTGATTCTCAAGGTCCACGACCGCTGCCGCTCCGATCCTTCCATCAATCCCGCTCCCGTCGGTGTACAGTATCAAGGGTCTTTCTCTTGGGTCTTTGGTCAGGATCTGGTTGTGGTGGTTGACCGCAACCTCTCTTTCCTCGATGATTACCTCCGGCGGCGCTTGCCATGGTGCCTGGACGAATGCCTTTCGATTCTCCCAGTTCCTCGCGAAAGTTCCCGGGAGAGTCGTGAGGCATCCGTCCGTCCACACGATTTATTATTCATATTGCTTTTCTTTAGAATGTCAATGGCTCTGAACTAGCTTTAGTAGGTGATATATAATGTAATTAGTGTCTAAGCGCAAGGATCGGTAGGCTTAATTTTCCAGAAACGAAAGTCAAGATTAAGAGAAAGGAAAAAGTAAGGAGCTTTTCTGGTTTCTATGGGCTCTTCCTAGTTAACGAAATCGGAGATCCTGTGTTGTGATCTGAAGCCCGCAAAGCACTGCTAATGCTTGGCTGAGCATAGCTATAGAAAGCTTCAGAGCACTTGATTGAATGCATCAAGCTCCGAACTCGGAGGGTCATACGATGCGTTGGTTTTCGGGAAAATGCTGCCGGCATTAATCATGCCATGTGCAGGAATACCCTCAGCAGGTGTACTTCACCATTATAAATAGCTATAGAGAAGCCTCCTTTTGGGAGGCAGACTTAAATCATCTCGTTTCACTGCCCATTGCTCATGCATAGTGCTTCTCAGACCATTGTAAATAACAACATCCACGTCTCCAGGAATGCAGGAAACGTCTCCAGGAGCACTGCTATGGCTCCCCCACACGCCTAAGCCCCCGGATCTTAATTCTAAAGCACCAAGGAACAGGTATTTTGCTCCTAGGGGCTTTGGACTGATCCCTGGAGCCACTATGCCTAAAGAGGAGATGTCTAACTCCTCTGGCATCTATCGTGCATCCTTCCTTTAGGGAATATAAACGTTGTGAGTAAGTCGTATAAAATCTATACTATTCTATAAGTCTTCAACCTCCAAGTTTTTCAGAATACACATTGTATTCAAACCTCCTACAGACGTCAATACGCCAACATGCCTCCCCAGAGAACAAAAACTGTGAGCATTTCAATCGCTGTCCCTCCACCAAACGCTCATATATCGTCGTCCAGGCTCTGAAGCCTACGAGTCGTCACATATGTGGTCCTTAGCAAAGTCGTATGTGGTCCCTAGCTTTGCCCTAACCTGCCCCCCGGTGTAACGAAACACGCCGTGTTCTGGAAGTTACTTTGACTTTTAAGTAACTTAAAATCTACGCACGCGTAAACATTTTAATAATTTAGATTTCCTATATAGCTTCTTTCCTTAACAATTCCGACACAAGGTACTTTATAATACCCGACACCAGCTTTGAGTTGACTTAGCCTGAATAGACCGTGTCACACTCGAGCCAAGTGTTTTGTAGTTGGTTACAGCCAGAACCTGTTGGTCCACTAACTTGTCTCCAGCCGTCACACCCTCCTCCAGTACCTCTATCGAACGTGACGAAGCAAGACGACCCGGACCCTTCACCACCGTTTACTTTCATCGATCCATGGACGTATCCGTTGCCGAGTGCGTAGTTGCCAACCAAATTTTGACCAGGCACATTCCTAAGAGTAGGGGAATTAATTAGCCTATTTGGTTTGGGAAGAGGAGGATAGGGTAATTTAGAGAAGCTCCGAGCGGAGGGGCTTACATTTTGCAGAGACAACCACTAGCGTCCGTCTGCGTGTTACTGCCCGGCGGAGGATGGCCACCAGCCACGCCATAGCCGCCATCGCCGCCATCGCCGCCATCGCCGCCATCACCGCCATCGCCGCCATCACCGCCATCACCATGGCCACCACCGTCGCCTCCACGAGCTGAGACCTCACCTATAGCGGTGAGGAAGGCAAATGTAGCCACAAAGAATGTTTTCATCGTCGCGTTTAGCCGTCGTAGAAGGTGTCGGAAAAGAAGAAGTAAGGAACTAGCAACAATTCTTTTGTTGCCTTTTCATGAATGGACTGACTTAGAAGTGTGGTCGTGTGGTGAGCACCTTCCAACGTAGAGCATATATATATCTTTATATATATATATACATATGTACAAATTCGCTGCGCAGGAGTCGGTTCCGGGCGTTCCGTGCCGCTTAAGAGTAAGAAAGGACATTTTGCCCCCTTAAATCTGGCACCAAAGGAACTCTTATTTAGGGATTATGTATCCACCCCACAGACATATGCAGCGCAACCCTGGCAGTATTCTCATGGAGTTTTTCAATTTCTACGGACATCATTTTCAATACAATACGAGGAAGCGAATCTGCAGCTGAATCGTAAATTACAACAAAGCGAAAGAACCACTCGCACAGCGTCTGGGCCGTCATGGCAAATTATCCCGGGTGGGATTTCGCCTGCCTATGTGAACGGTTGGGACACTACCTCGGTAATTAACACAGACTCCCAGTAAAACTGGTAACACTATGATGATGTATTCATTTGCCCGATGTAGCTCGCTCTATATATATGCTGCTATGCGGGAGTGCTGTCAGGCCTGCCGACAGCTGGAAGGTGGTCGCCAGCCCACTGGGCGACCGTCAGGGAACTCGCCTTGCGAATTTCTGATCAATCGCCCTCGAATCGAAAGACGTAAACTAAACAAAAGAAATGCACGGATGCAAACATGATAAACACAAAGCCAAAATGAACGTCATTTACCCCTGGTCGCGGGTAGGACCAGGGTCCCGCTTCAACACACCATTCCCACGCCCTCTTCTCTCCAACTGTCCAGTCTTGTCGGCTGCCGCTTGCGCGCTCGCTTGGATCAAGGGAGTACAGTGGACCTGGCACTGCACTCCTAATGGGCGCCATCCTTCTTCTTCCGTCACACTGTCTAAGGGATCATTGTCTCCGCTCCTTTGTCGTCCCCTTCCTCGCCCAGAGCCGTAGGGTCGACTGTCTGAAATTGGCCTAGGAGGCCGGTCTTGACCATGAATTCGGCCACAACTGTGCGGGCCTCCGGTCGTGTGAGGAGTTCGTCCCGGTGGAGAGCGACTCCCTGGTATGAGAGAGCGCTTCTCATCCAGTCTCGCTCGTCCTGGTGCAAGGGGCATTCCAGTAGGACGTGTGTTACTGTTTGGCTGCCAAGATCGCAATCACACCGCGCTGTTTCGCGTCGGTTGATACGATTCAGGTAAGCCCCTAGGCCAATTCGCCCAGTTCTAAGCTGCATCAGAATCGATGTCGTCGCTTTGCGCAAGCCCGTCCAGTATTCCAGCGTCTTCTTTGTTGGTGCTTCAATCAAGCGTTTCGTCGGACGACTGGTCGCTTCCTTGGCCCACGTTCTGTCCCACTCCAGCTTCGCTTCTCTGCGAATTCGTCGTCTCGCTGCGGCTGCGAGACATATGTCTCGGTTGAGGGGGTTATGCAGCCCGTCCTGTTCCTGCGCCGCTTCTTTTGCGTGTTGGTCCACGATCTCGTTGCCAATGACTCCTTGGTGCGCAGGAATCCATCTGAGTTCTGTCCGAATGCTTCTGCCCGCAAGTTGTCGGATCAGGTTGAGGCATCCTGCTAGATAGACCTGTCCTGACGGCATCCGCGGTCGTCTCAGCGCCTTCAGCGCTGCTTGGCTGTCTACAAAGATGACTACCCCGTTTTTCGCCTGCTTAGCCCATGGCTCTGTGCTTTCCAGAACCATTTCAAGTGCCATCTCAATGGCTCGAAGCTCTGCCGCATATACGGTGGACGTATTATCATCTCCCATCTGGCTATGAGCATGTTGATCCTCAAGGTCCACGACCGCTGCCGCTCCGATCCTTCCATCAATTCCGCTCCCGTCGGTGTACAGAATCAAGGGTCTTTCTCTTGGGTCTTTCATCAGGATCTGGTTGTGATTGTTCACCGCAGCTTCTCTGTCCTCGATGATTACCTCTGGTGGCGCTTGCCATGGTGCCAGGACGAATGCCTTTCGACTCTCCCATTTCCTCGTCAAAGTATCCGGGGGAGCCATAAGACATCCGCCCGCCTTCCAAGCTTGCGCCTCCATCGGTGACCATCCAGCCCAGTCTCTCTCATCTGCCGGTCGTCGACGTAACATCGTTGGCGGGACAGCGAACTTTGGTCCTGTCCGTAGTCGAAGGGCCGTTTCTTTCACCAGTCGATTCATGTGAACAGAAATAGGCGGTAGGTGAAGCTCTGCATTCAGTGCCTCTGCTGCCGTAGTTCTGAAAGCTCCACTGATGAGACATGCTGCCTGCTTCTGGATTGCCACGAAAGGCCGACTGATTATGCGTGCCTTGGAATGACTGATGAGCATAGGTTGATACCACGCGGAAACCCCAAAGAGCATCTGCGGGATTATCACCGCTTGGTAGATCTTTCGCATTGCATAGAGTGAGGCTCCCCACGTTGATCCTGCCAGGCTTCGTAGTGCGTGGAGAGAGACACCGGCCTTGGCCACCGCTTTCTCGCGGTGATGGTGGAATTCCAGACCCGGATCCAGCCAATAGCCTAGGTACCGCTCAGCCGTCCTCGTCGCTGTCACCGTGTGTCCTCGTAGAGAAAGCGATGTGTGTTGTGGGTCGACTTCCCTGGTGTTTACAAAATGCACGAGTGCATACTTCTTCGGGTCAAAAACTGATGCATGTTTCTCGGCCCATTGGTCGGCTTTGCGGCATGCCGCTCTGAGTTTCTTGATGGTTTCGCGTTCGCTGTCTCCCTTTGTCATGAAGCAAACATCGTCGACCCACCCGTTGCTTGTCACACCGTTGCTGCAGTTCTCAACGAGGTCTGCGTTGTAGATGAGATATAGAATGGGTGAGATCGGTGATCCTTGAGGGATGCCTGTAGGTGTCAGGATTCGATCGGATGTGCCCTCGGGCATGCGGATCCTTGTGCTTCGATTGGTCAAGAAGGCCCTCACCCAGGGAACGAAATGTCCCAAGCGACGTTTCTTGAGGTTGTGTAGTAGACGTTCATGGGAGACATTGTCGTACGCTCCGGACACGTCCAGCATCAGCAGAGATACCACTGGCTTGCCCTTTCCCCATGCAGTCTTGATTCGGTCGATGATAGTGTGGATAGCATGATCGGTGGATATGCCCTTTCGCCCGCCTAGATGGTTTCGTGGGAGTAAACCGTTGGTTTCTGCTGCGTAGCTGATCCGTCGCGCGACAACTGCCTCCAGAAACTTTCCGAGCGTGTTCAGCAACGCGACGGGTCTGTAGGATTTTGCGAGCTGGTAGTCACTTTTGCCTTGCTTCCGGAGCACCACCGTGATTGAGCGCTGGAAATGTGACGGGTTGTATCCCGTGTTTATGCATGCGTTGAATAACTGGACCATTGTTGCTAGAACCACCGGTATCTCGATAAGCTTGTGCCAGAGAGAGTTTGGTATACCGTCTTCTCCGGGTGCTTTCCCTGCTTTCGCTCCTCGCACCGCCTCCTGTATCTCTTGAGCGGTGACTGCTGGAAACTCGATTTGCTGTGGGTACTGGAATGAGTCCGTGTCGGATAGATCGGCTGGCGGCGGTTTGGGGAAGAAGGCAATCCGGAATGCCTCTGCCTTTTGATCAACTGTTTCTGCGAGAGTTCCAGGCATTTGGGGATCCTGTATTTTCAGCGAAGGGGTGATACCCTTCTCGTAGGCCCCATCTCGGTTTCTTGCCCATTTAGCCAATCGCCACATACCCTGTGGGCCATCTTCAATGACCTGCTGGACTCGGCGCCGGTGCGCCCTTGACAAGGTTCTCTTGACGAGTCGTGTTTTTCTGTTGCGTGCTTCAGAGTAGCACATCCAGTCGTAGGGGTCTTGAGTTCTCGTATGTTTGCGACGGAGGCGACGAACCTCTTTGACCGCAACTTTACACTCGTCGTCAAAGTCGGGGTTCGACCACGCGGATGGTTTTGCCCATGGGGTTGATTCCTCGATTGCTGTTTGGATCGCTCCCATCAGCTCCTGGCATTTGGCTTCTATCCTTTGCGGATTTGCCCGGTATAGGCCTCCTGTCCGTAGACCTCCTTCGATCTTCTGGATGAGTTTCTGATCATCGGTTGCGTTCCAGTTTCTTCTCTTCTGTTGTACTGCAATGGGTGTAATAATATCAAGCACAGTCCTGATCGGGAAATGGTCGGATGCGTGTTCGATGTCATCCGCCCTCTCGCAATTGATAAGCCTGTTGACAAGGTTGGATGTGATGAAGGTGAGGTCAATCACCGACGACTGATCGTTTCGAGACCAGGTAGGTCTGCCTTGTTGGGTCGTCAACTCGAGTCCCCATTCATTGGCGATTTCTAGGAGTTGCTCGGCCTCCTGATCGAGCCTGGTCCCTGTTCCTCCCCATCTCGGGTGATGCGCGTTCATATCTCCAAGGATGATGTGTTCTCCATGAGGTCGTTTTGACAGCTCATTTCTCAGATGTCTAAGAGTATTGCTGCCCGGCCTATTGTATATGTTGTGTATGAAGAGATCTGTCCAGTCTCTGCCCTGATGAGCCTTTCTAAGTTTCAGTAACTGGTAGTCCTGTGAGACGAGTTGACACGACCAAGTGCTCGGGTCAAGCCTTTTAGACACAAACAGGCATACGCCCGGTTGGGAGAGATCCGAGGCTTGGACTTGATTGTCCTGGCCTTGGGTTGTTCCGTCGGCAGCTGCTTTTGGTGGGTAAATTAGCTGGAATGTTGCCGTCGCTGGTTGGTGTGTTGTGTGTTGCATTTCGTTCTTCCATGGCTCCTGCACCGCGACGACGTCCGCCGCGAGGACATTTCTGTCTCTGAGGAACGTTGCCATCACTGGCCACGATTTGTGTACGTTGTATTGAAGAATCTCAAACGATTTCATTGATGAGTTTGTTCGTCATCGCTTCGTTCGCTGGCCTCGTGCCATACTTCATCATTTGGGTCTTCGATTGTTGGTGCATCCGTCGTAAAAATCGGCGGAGAAGA